CTGAAGAACAGAAAAGAACTAAAATTCGTAAGTATATACAAATCTTAATTTTAATTTTTTTGTTTTTTTTTTTAATTTTATTAATGAACGGTTACTAATAACTGTTCTTTTCTTTATTTTTTTAGGTTTTAGGAGAACTTCGGGTTTCAAAGAATAGAAAAAACTAAAGATTCGTAAATACGAGTACGAATCTTACGAATCTTGTTTTTTTCATTAATATTAATGAATGGTTACTAATAATCATTCTTTTCTTTTTTATAGATTCAGGTGGACTTCTGATGAATGGAAAAAGAGGAACCAAGATTCGTAAGTACTAATCTTGGTTTATTTTATTATTATTATTTTATTATAATTTTGAATTAGCAATATTTATTTGTAATTTAGATAGATGCTAATAATAATATAATTATAAAGTTTTTAAGCATTTAATTAATAAATACATTTAATAAATTTGATAATAAAAATCAAAATAAATTTGAAAAAAATAAAAATTACATTACTTCTTTTTTGAAAATGATTAGCAAATGATCGGTATAATGTTATTTTTATATATTATTATTTAAATTTAGGAGGATGAGAAATTATCCAAATAAAAAATAATTTTTTTCAAAATATTTTATTAATTTCTAAATATATAATTAAATTGAAATTTTATGAATTAATTGCATAATTAATAAATTTATTTATTTTTATTTTTATTTTAAAGTTTATTAATTATGATACTTGACTCTATATAAATTAGGTGTTATTACATCACAATAAATACAGAAAATAGGTTTAATCATTCCCATAGTGTAATGAAAATGCATTAATAAACCTGATGCAAGGGCACCTACACATCAAAAGAAAATAGACACAAAAAAAAAACAGCAAAAAGATATATGTGTAAAAATAAAAAAACAGTTAGTAACGAAATTACTCTATTACAACTATACTTCTAAAACTAAGACTATTTGAACATTTTTTTGAACTTATCAAGATGCTCCTAGTTTTCTAAACATCAACTTTATTTCTGCTAATATAGTAAGCTTATTAATACTACCCAAGATCTTATCTATATTTTTGATTTCCTTAGCCATTTTTTTCTTTTTACTCAACTAAGTGTTAGTACTAATTGTTTAAACCTTGGAGTCACCTTTTTGAATTCTGAGGGTATCTCCTTCTTTGTTTCAAGTTAAAGGTAAAATATCTTATCTAATTACCAGTAAATTCATCCAAGCTAAATGGCTTACCAATGAACTTTTCCAAGTCAGCCCACGTTTCATAGTAAATTATTAACTTGCGAGTATCCTGATCTTGAATTAATTTAAATGCTTTACACCTTAAAGGTATAAGAATAGAGTGAGCAGGTTTATCCAGATATAAAGTAGCTGTGGTTACTAAAGCAGAAACTCATTTAAACACAGCTTGAAATCGTTCCTGTTCTTTCATTTGTTTGATATTCCAGTTAGTCCCATCATTCCAAAGTCTTATAGCCTCTTGATTGAGTTCAATCGACACTGTTACAGTGATGTATTTCTGCTGAGATTTAAACTTAATCACAATTATTTGACCTCAGGCTTTAAGATAATTAAACGTATCAAATTGAGATCAGGTAGAGAGGATATCATAAACCGTAATTTCTCAGATAAGGTTCTTATTTACAGGTATATATCCAGTTATCATGATACTAATAGTTTTAGGTGAAAGTAAAAGAAGTAGCTTTTACTGAAAGACCACTCATTGGTTCCTCTTGTTATGCTGCAACTTTTGATTGATGTTTGAGTATTTTAGATATTTCTAAAATTTCTATTTCTATCAATTGATCCTCTACAGATTTGAACATGTTTGGTATTTGTTTTGGTAACGTCATCTGTTATTTCACAAACTCTTTGCAAATATCTTCTATTCCTTTAATTATGCTAGCTTGGATAAAGTCAAAAGACTCATAAAAAATAAAGAGAAAGTGATATAAAGACTGTAAGTCACTGATACCAAAAGTTGCAAGGACCTCATGATGTTCCATAAGTAAAGTTGTGTATAGTTCTATATATGCCACCCAAATTATTTTGGACTGCCGTAATTATTATAAGTAAAATCCCAAATTCAATTATGGCATCCCAAATTATTTTGGCACTTTACATAGTAAATTATATATAAACTGAATGAATTATGGCATCCCAAATTATAATTATGGCATCCCAAAATAATTTGGGCAGCATATATATATAGTTTGTCATTACCAGTATTCTTTTCAACAGTTTGGAAAATATTATTTTTTGTTAAACTAAAAGAAATACTATATCTTTTTAAAGCGTGGCAGACCAGTTTAAAGTAAAGAGCTTTATTTATAGCTGTTTTAAGGTCATCACCCTTAAATAAAGCTTTAAAAATGTTTTGTTTTGACAAAAAAAGCCATAGTAGTTTCAGAAAGTTTTCCTTTAAAATTCCTATGGGAAAAATGGTCTATACGATTAGTGGAAAGAATTCTCCTTTTTTTCAATTAATAAATTTATTAATTAATAATTATTTATGATAGTATTTAAAAACTAAAGATATAGTGTCTAACTTCTCTATTATAATCAATTTTTATTCTTTTTAATATAATAAAAATTTACAACTTTATTATATTTATTAAGTTAAATTTAACCGTAATGTTTAGACTACCCTGTATAAATAAATTTGAATTGCATAACATCGCTCCCATTGAGCACTTTATCATGTAACATTATACAAACTTCCAAAAAAGGAAATTTTGCTTCCCACAAAAATAGGGAATTTTGGTTTCACAAATACTCCAAAAAGGAAATTTCTGCGCTGATCACATAATTCCGGCCAGAATTAATTGTTACATGCTTTTTTTATATGTATGTATACCGTTGTAAAGCAACGAGTTAACGGCTAGTCTTTTATAATTATTCTTATAAAAGAGTTTAAAAAATAATAAAAAAACAAAATATAAAATTTAAAAAATAATAAAAAAACAAAATATAAAAAAAAAAAAATCAAAAGGTATTTAATAATAATATAAAAAGAATCTATTTTTATATAATTATTAGAAATAATGTATTCACCGCACCCTGCGTTACAAATTTATATATATTTTTATGTTTATCATTTGCCATTTTAAGGGGGGTGCGGTGTATAAACTAAAGATCAGCATAAATAATTTACAAAAAAGGAAGGATGTTTTGTAACGCAGGGTGCGGTAAATAAATTCACTCTAATTATTATATAAGAAATAAAATTTATATATATTTGCACATATACACATTTTTTTATTTTTAGTAATTTTTATATAATAAATTTATCAATTATTAATAAATTATTATGTACTAACTTTATTAAAATTCTAATTTTTATATTGCAATTCTTATATATATTATAGAATCTTAGAATTTATTTACTATATATATTTTTACTTATTTTATAACTTTTAATAATACTTAATGAGTTATAAAAGATTTAAAATATTATTTTTAATTTTTATATATATAATATATTTATAAGAGTATGTATAGGATTCTGCAGGACCCACTTACTTATAAGATAGGTCACCTCCAGGCCTAAGGTAAAATCATCTATAAAATTCTTTGCAGATCCTACTATAAAAGGAAATTTTATGTTACATTGTTATGATTTTTTTCCTTTTTAGTTAATTAACCAATAAAATTTAAGAAAAAAGTAAGGTAAAAACTATTAGTTATACATACCACCCAAATTATTTTGGGCTGCCGTAATTATAAGTAAAATCCCAAATTCAATTATGGCATCCCAAATTATTTTGGCACTTTATATAGTAAATTATATATAAACTGAATGAATTATGGCATCCCAAATTATAATTATGACATCCCAAAATAATTTGGGCAGCATGTATACTATTAGTAAAGGGCCAATTTTCTACAGTGATCTTTATTATAAGTAAGCAGGGTCCTGATCCTGCTTACTTATAAGATAGGTTACCCTCAGACCTAAGGTAAAAATCATATATAAATTCTTTGCAAATCCTACTATAAAAGGAAAATTTAGTTTACATTGTTATGATTTTTTTCTTTTTAGTTAATTAACCAATAGAATTAAGAAAAAAATAAGGTAAAATTATAGTAAATAACTAATTTTTTACAGTGACCTTTATTAAAAGTAAGCGGGATCCTATATGCATATATACAAATGCATATAAGTTTTAAATTCTATTATATAATAATCAAAATAATTTATTTTTATGTAATTATTATAATTATTTGATAATAATTATCTCTAATAATTATTTTTAAAAATTAAAAACTAATTAATTATGATTTTAATAATATATATATTATTTAAATTTAAAAAGCCAATTTCAATATTAATTTAATATTATTAAAAAATAATACTTATTTACTATATATTTTTTTTAAAAAAATAATACCATAAAGTTCCAAATATAAGCAACCTTTTTTTGCCTATTTTGGCTAAAATCCTTATAAAAAAAACTATAATATCCCCTTAAAAATATTACAAACTGTAACTTTGCAATGATCCTTTATAATGAAATATGAATCTGACTAAAATCATTATCATTCAGGCCAGGATGTTTATTTCCTAGAGTTGCTTATATTCAGAACTTTATGGTATATATGAATTCTTTTTTATATTATATATATTGGTTAAATTATTAAAGATCAAAGTTTGTTAATAAATTAAATTTAATATTGCTAATAATAAATTCTAGTAATACAATAAATCTTAAATTGAACATGATATTGTGTAATAAAAAATAAAATCAATGGATTATAAAAGATATTATTACATTAGTATATACCATTTATGTACTTTAATATTAATTAAAGAGCTTTGAATAAATATTTGATATGAGATCAAATAATACCAAAAATGAAAATCAAAAAAGAATTTATATTCTTTTATATTATAAAGGGTGTGTACTTTGCAATTGTAATTGAACATTATAAGATCAGAAAATTAAGATATCATATTTAGATAGGATAATAGATTTATTAACATATATAATTTTTATTTACTCTTGAAGTTATAAACATGTATTTAAAATGAAATTAATTTTTGAATATCAACAAATATGGTAATATGGAAAAAAAAGACAAGAATCAAACTGAATGATGATTTTTTATGTAAGGAGTTGAGGGATGAAGAAAGTATTATATAAAAAATTTTTTTTTGATTATTTTAAGATTTTATACGTTTCTATTATTAACGATATTGGAGCGATCAAGATCGCTTAAATCAGCAATTGAACTTGCAAGTGAATTCTTTCGAATAATTATATTTTGACGTTTTCTTTCTTTTGAAGCCATAGCCTATTTAAACAGATGATAATGGTTAAAATCAATTTTTTAAGTATTGAAATTTGAATCAAATGTTATGATGATATTTTACCTCAGCGTCCATTTGTGCAAATTCTTCTTCATTGATGGAACCTTCAGCAACATTTTGCCGTAATTCAGGGTTCTTTTTATCTTTTAAATTCCAAATCTTACTACGAGCTGTATCTTTATAATTTTTATTAACAGTATAATTGGAATTTCGGTAAATATATTGTTCAATAAGTTTTGCTTTCTCCGCCAATCGAGATTCTTCTGCTGTTGATTAATAATAATGATTGATGTGATCAATTTCATATAGATGATATCTTGTATAATGACTAAAAATTTGGAAAAAACATTTACCTTCGTTGATCTTTACTTTGTCATCACCTATGAGTGCTTTATGAATTAAATTAATACCTATTTAATATGAAGAATGAACGTAACGTTAGTATTGTTTTGTAATCATCATTTTGTCGCGGTAAATTTGGATCTAATTGGTTGATTTGGATTTCGATTTCAATATTATGATGTGTGATCAATGGCAAAAAAATATAGTGAGTATAAAGTATCACTTACAATTATCACGAAATTTGTCACCGGTAAGTACTTGAACTGGCATTACTGCGGATGATCAAAAAGTCAGCTGATATATATATTTAATTATAAAATCGATTTTTGATTTATACAAAGTTTCGGTTTAAAAAAGAGGTTCAAAGGATAAAAAAAAAATTATGATATATCTTATAAGAGATTATTTTTATTAGTGATGATAATAATAATATTATTATCCGTTGATTTTTAAAAAACGTTCTTATAAAACTCAGAAAGTCAAGAGATGAAAGGAAAATTCGAGGTCTTTTTATAGAGAAATTTTTTTATATGGAATCAAATAGAAATTAGTTTTGTGTTGTGTTTATAGTATCAGGATTAGCATGTGCATTATCGAAATTGTGACCAGATGTACTTTATTTGTAATGACCTTTTTTTTTTTTGTCATGAGACTTAATCTAGGCTATTTTCTGTTACGACAAATAACACGAAATTCGGGGTAGTTACAAAAAAACTGATAAATTATAAGCCGAACCCAAAAAAATAAACGATAATATTTCGGAAAGTCTGACCCAAAACCAATTTATCTGGTATAAATCTCATTTAGTAAATTACTTTCTTAGTTTAGTTACAACAATTTTTTTTTTACAACTTGAACTTAACCTTTAATGGATAAACAAAAAATATTATCATGTCTTTATATAAAGGGCTTCATCCTTATTCATCTCTTTTTTTTAAAAAAAAAAAATATTTATTTTTTTTTTTTTGTGACTTTATTGAAAGTCTCAAAAAAGATAATAATGTCGCAATCTTTGTAACATCCTTTACAAAGACTTTGTTTACCGATATTATACGAAATCAGTCTTATTTTATGAATAACACTAACGATATTTTTGGTTAATCACATATTATCAATAGTTACCTAATCTTTGATGATCAAAATTAAAACCTGTTGTATTTCAACTTAAGACTTGATTTAAATGATTGGGCTAAACTTATTGTAATCTAGTATAATGTTACGCCAAGATTTTATGCGTAAGTCAATGATGGCTGTGAGAACAAGTTCTGCCAGAATTCTATTTATGGTCACCTGAAATTATACATATTGGAAAAGGTTTTTTTTTTAATTTTTATCAATTTTAATAAATTTACGTGGCTTAAGGAAATTGGTTAATCTGGTAATGCATAAATTATATTACAATGGCTGATAGAATTATTATTTTAATCGATAAGATTTATGAGTCATAATATATATAAATATGTAAAAAAAATAAAAAAGGGGAAGTCTTTGAAAATCCTTATCTGTATATCTATAACTTTCTATATAGAGATCCTCATTTGTACAATCAAAGAAAAAAAAAAAAAATTTTTTAAAAAAAAAGAGATGTGAAACTAAAATAAATTAATTTCCGGGAATTATTGAGTAACAAAAAAAAAATGATGTGAAACTGAAATAAATTAATTGCCCAGAATTATGAGTAACGTGATTATAATTATTAATTAATTATTGTTGAAATTTTTCCTTCAATTTTTTTAATTGTTCCTCTTCAAAAAAACGTTCTGCTTCTTCTTTACCTTTTTCAACATTAACAGTAAAAATCACTATTAATGGTATTATCATCATAACAAGTAAAAACCAAAAACCATATCTTAAATCATGAGTCAAATCTCCAATTAATCCTGTTACTAAAGGTCCAATCCAACTTGATCCTTTATCAGTTATTTCATATAAACCAAAAAATTCATTTTCATGTCCTTTGGGCACCATGCTTCCAAATAGAACACGACAATAACTTTGTATAGCTCCCAACATGAACCCAAAATATACTGCAAAAATATAAATTTCTATTGTAAACTTAAATCCGATTGGCGTAACAAATCCAAGTAATCCATATATTGGAATTAAAGAATGTAATCCACCTGTAATTAATATCATTGTTTTTGTTGATAATCCAAATTTTTGTTGTAAAAATAAAAAGATGTAAACACCAATAAATGCGCAAACTGGTATTATGATTGCTGCAATCGTTAATTGTGTATTATCTACTTCAAGATTTTTCTTTCCAAATATTATTGCAACTGAAACAACAGTACTAAACCCATCTGATAATAAAAACCATGAAATTAAAAATTTAAATGATTGTGTCAACTTTTTCGCTGAACCAAGTGTCTTTCCCACCCTTTTAAATGAATAAAATAAAAAATTTTCTCCTTTTGGTAATGGAGGATTTTTTCTTTTTTGTAACCAAAATGTTGGAAATATTAATAATATCAACCACCAAATTCCTGCTATTGCTGTCCCTACTTGAAGACCATAAGTGGATTGTTTCATGAAATATGATATTACTGCAGCTATTACTAATACTACTACTCCTGATGCATATCCAATTGCAATCGAATGTGATGAAAATTTATTTGATACTGTATCCTCTATCTTTGATATTTCTTGTACTGTTTTACCTGATTCTTTAGCTTCAATGACAAGTGGATGAACACGTGTGAATGTTGGAATATATGCCAAGTAAAATACATATCCAGCTCCAAAGCATACATTACTATATTATCAAAAAATAAATAAATAAATAAATAAATATGTTAAGCAAGTTACATATTTATAATAATAAATTATAAACATAATACTTACGATAATATTGTTAATAATCCTGCTAACCAGTATAAACTTGGATTAATTACTAATAAGAAAGCGATGGTTGAAATTGCTCCAAGATATGAAAAGAATAATAGAAATTTTTTTCGATTTTCTCCATGATCAGCAAGGGATCCAAGTCCAATGTATACCAAACATTGAATAAATACTGATATAGATATGGTATATAAAGAAAAACTTGCTGTATCAACAAATCCTGCCCCATATTTTGTTACACATTGATATCCTTTTATAGAAGTATTACAAGGGGTTACATGATCTAATTGAAACCCTGCTTCGCTTGCTCGATTTTCTAATATTATTGGAATAAATGCCGATATAGCAACAACGCTATATACTTCAGTCTAAAAAAAAAAAAAAAAAATTTTACATAAATATATGTTAATTTTTTAAAGAGCGAATGTCAAAATTTTTGCGCATTTACTTATAAAAATTAACTTACCGCTGCATTGTAAATATACCATCCTTTTAATTCTTTAGGTGTGACTGGAAGTTCTTCTTCCTCCACTATTTCACCATTATCACTACTATTATCTTTACCATCTTGTAAACTTAATATAATATCATTTCCTAATGTTGATTCATCTGCGATACTTATTGAACTAACATCAAGATTTGATGAATTTGGTGAAAATAATGATGGTGTTGGTATATCCTGTCTCTTATACACATCTAGATGTGTATAAGAGACAGGTATCAAGTTGCCACGGCTTCCCTGACATGATAATTAATTAATATAATGTATGAATGTATGACTTAGTAAAAAAAAATTTTAACTTTTTTTTTTAAAAAAAAAAAAATATCAAAATTTCTAAATTAAATGTTAAAAGGGCTCAATAAAAAGCAGTCAAAAAAAAAAGCAGTTGAAAAAAAGCAGCTGAAAAGAAAGAAAGAAAAATTGGATTCCTCTTAATTCTAAAAACACAGAATTTTATAATTAAATTGCACACGTGGGCTCGTTTTTGTAGAAGAAAACATTTAGTGTGGGCGTACAGAAAATGATAATCCAGAATTTTTTGTATTTTTATAATCCTAATTTATCAATCAATTGAAAATTGCCTTGAAGATTTTGACTAATGAGAATACCCTCCGGTTGTACAAAATAAGTAATTTTGATATAAGTTTTATGTTTTATATTTGGTCACAAGCTTCAAAAGGGATTACTTTTTATTTCGTCATTTCCGTTATTCCTGGATAAGATTTATCAATTATTAGAAAGTCTATTGTTGGAACAAAATATATTCTATAAATGTCTTTCAATACACCCCATTATTCATGGTCTCTTATTCTAACTTACTATATGAATTCTTTTTTTTTTCGTTATTTTGGATTTGACAAGTGACAACAGATTTTTGACAATTTTGATTTCTTTGTGATTCCTGTACGTCGTTGCAAATACGGTAAATTTAAATAATCGTATACTCGGTTAAGTTTAGATCTTGCTGCATAGACTATTATAGAATTGCTTTAACACACAAAATGTATGTCCTTGAAATTTAATAATCCTGTATGAAACCAGTTCGAAACAAGCTTTTTAGGTTCAAAAACTGTAATGCGATAAATAGAAATGCATTAAAAAAACATGCATCACATGACTCAAAAATTGATACTATAATTAAAATGCATTGCTCCTTTTTATAAAATTCTCCCCTCTTCCCCTGTTTCCTTGATACTTATGGTGCCATTCAAATAATCGTTTAAATATGACCAAGTTTTGTCCAACTTTGGAATTATATCTTAGCATTGCGTTACAATAGTCTACTTCTGGTCGGCATTTTTTGATCATGAAAATCAGAATCCAATCAGCGATCAGAATATATATATAATATATATAAGCAAAATTGAGAATAAAAATTAAAAAAAGATAACTTCAAAAGTTCTTTTCTTTTTTTGACCTGTTGTCGTTTAATGAGTGTATTAAAAAAAAATTAGAAATGCATCTGCAATAACGTGACTCAGATTATGTAATTACAACTTGTTATCACTCATATTTATGGATGCGTAATTGTTACTCTGGCCCCGAATTTTTATATAATAAATACCCCTTTTATAAATACTTTATTAGTTATCCCTTAATCTGTTTTGCAGCCAAATTTGCCTGCAATTTTATTTTTTAATTAAAGACATTTTTAAATACCTTAAAATATTTTGTAATAAATTCTATAGTATTTTCTAAGTAAAAATTAAAAAAAAAAGTTCAATTTAATTAATGATTTTTTAAAAGTAAATGATCGATAAATTATAATAAATAGTAGCTAAATTTTTTAAATTAAAATATCTTTTTATCCATTAACCCTAGAAATATAAAATTACCACCATTTGATGTGTCTTAATGAGAAGAATCTGATAGAAATAAATTTGTCCTTCTACAAATATTATGTGACAGGATAACTTATAAAATCTAAAAATTTATAAGTTAATATAACTTTTTATTTATCAATTTTAGAGTTATGATTTTATTACCATTAAATGCGCCTTAATAAGAGAAATCTAACAAATATAATTTCATCTTTATATGATCACTAGATCTTAAGATATTTTAAAAATTCAAAAATTTTTAAAATTAATTTTAGCCCCTACAGTTTAAGGGATAAGTTTAATCACACCAATTTTAGTGCCAATAATAAATATAAGTAAAATACCAATTTATAATACTGGCTAGAATTACAACTTTGTATAACAAAAATTTCCTTTTTTTTTGAATTTTTTTGATGACGGACATATAAATAAATTGAATTCTTTATAGAATTACACTATGGAATCAAAACAAATGCTTTAATAGAAAATTATATAAATAATATTAAAATTATGAGTTGATTATAAGTACATTCCCATATAATTATACCATTTGTTAATCCTAAAGGGTATTTCCATAAGAATTGTTAAGGGATAGGGATACAATCAGTTATTTTTTTAGGGATGTTATTCTGGTCAAGTGAGCTGAGCTACAGCTCACAATTAATTGAGCTTAGCTTGTTTAAGCTAAACTCTTATTTCAGTTTATTTTTTAATTAATACAATTATTACTATAAATTTGATTTTTAACTGCCTCTGGGATATTAAGTATGCAAAAAAACAATATAATATAAAAATATAGCAATAATGTATAATTTCTTTATTTTATTACTTTACTAAAAATGGCTAATTTTTTGAAATGATTTTGTAATAATTTTAAAATACTACAAAAATACATTTAATACATCAAAATGTTTTTATTATATTTTTGTTATTATTTTGTAATTATATTGTATCTAAGTCTATAAAAATAACTCAAAATAATATCACAATAATTTTTTAATTTTTTTATTATTATTTTATTATTATAATATAATTAACTTTTATATTATTTTAATATTTTAATCTCAAAAATACCTCAAATATATTTTGATATATTTTAAAAATTTTACAAAATAATTACACAATTGTTTTGAAAGCCATTGTATCTAGGTTTATAAAAATATTTCAAAAAATTGGCCATTTTAGTAAAGTAACTGATTTATTATTCTGCAAAAATATGTATCAAATATCATTTCAAAAAAATAATGTATTATATCTATATCTAATTGAAAAAAAGACATAATATTTTTAATAGTAATTAGTTATATATTTTTATTACTGATATGGATTTCTATTTTCTTATAAAAAAGTAAATTGTTTTTTGTTTAAATTATTTTTTCTTATATATAAATAATATCTGTTAACAAAAAAAAATAAATTAATTAATTTAAATTATTATAAATTGGTATATTTACCGTTATAAAAAACAAAAATTACAAATCACACCACTGATATTCAACATTACAGTTATATGTATTAATTATTTTTTATTTATCATATAATTTTTTTATTCTTTATTATTAATAGTCTAATTATTATTAATAAAACATATTGCAATATTTAATGCTGTATTATATACTTCACATATATTTTTCTTAGTTTTTCAATTTTTTTTTATTTTGCAATATTTGTGGTATAAAGAAAAAAAAAGTACTAAGTAAACTTTTTCTGATCATTTTCAGAGATGCTAAACAATTTTAATTAAAGTGACTTCTTTAATTTAAACTATAGTTTTCATGAAAATATATACTATGGTATTAAGCACCAGTAGTATAATTTATAAAATTCCATAAAAAATTAATATTTAATGAAAATAAAAAAAATTTGCTATTTGCCTAAACTTTTCCAAAATTCTATGATTAGTTTTTCTAAAATTTTACTATAATTTATTATAGTAGTTTTGGCAAAATTTTGACAGTTTTGCATTTATAATAAGTTTCACTTTTCTCCAGAATTTCATTAACTTTTAATAAAACTTTCATATAATTTGGCAAAGTTTTACTATTTTAACATGTTTCCAACTTGCCAAAATCTTCTAGTTTCTCTAGCAACCTTAAAACATTTAATATTTTATTTAAATTCATAAAATTCTATAAAATTTGTATTTAAAAAATGATTTTAAAGATATTGAAACTTTTAAAAATATAGATTTAAATAATTGACTTTAAGAGACTTCTTTTGCAAATATTTTAAATATTAATATTTAAAATAGAATAAATGTATTTGTAACAGCCTATTACATATCTTATTTGTAACATTTTTTTTTTATTTTTTTTTAATAATAAATTTAGTATATAGTTTACAAATAAAATTTTTATATGCAAAATTTATTTTGAAAAACTTTTACTTAATGTACTTAAGACAGTTTCATAGACAAAATTTCAAGTTATAAGCAGTTTCTTGAAATTTTTAAAAAATTCTTTTATCTTGGTTACATGACTGATCTTTTGTTTTTGTTTACATTATGTCTGATCTTAAATTTTAATTGGATAAAATTGGAGGTTGTTACAAATAAGGCATGTAACAGACTAGCCCTATTCAAAATCATTCGATCATATTTTTCGGTCGGATTTAAGTTCATTCCGATTGGGCTGATCTGTTTGTGCAATACAACCATTTTCCGAACTTTTAGACCCAACTTTTTTTTGGGTTTTTAGTTCGAACGCCAAAATAACCAATCAAATAAAAATTTTTTTTTTTATCTTTTTGCACTTTATTAACGCGTTTTTTTTGAACATGTCTCAACAAATTCAAAAAGTTTGAAGTTCCAAGCAAATTTCAAGGACTCATAAACCTTTAGTGCTAAGACCTTTAGCACCCAGACCTATAAAATCAGCACCTTTGGCGCAAAGTCCTTTAGCACTAAGACCTATATCCACGCCTCATTTTCAAAGTCAAAATTCCAGCTTTGAAATGACATCTAATCCAAATAATTTAATGGGTTATGGATTTGGTACCATACCATACACAGAAGAAAATGAAGTTAGTGGTGAAATGCCATTTAACACACGCGTATTTGAAATTGATGATTATTCTTTACAGGAAAATGATCAATTATTTAATGAAGAAATTATTCCAATTGATATTTTAGATGGAGACTTTGATACAAATGATCTGATGGTTAGTACAATATGTTTTATTATGATATTATTTATGCAAATAATTAACTATTAATTAAACTAATTTTAGAATTTTAAAGAAAACGAAAATGGAAAAAAACAGAGTGGAAAGAGAAAAGTTTCTGAACTCCAATTTACTGAAAGATGGAGTGATGAATAAACTGATAAATTATTATCATATTTAGAAGATAATTATGAAAAACTTCAACAAGGAAAAAAGGCAGCTGTATATAATTCAATCTCTACTGAAGTTATCAAAACAAAAACTAGCGCAAGTATTAAATGACGGTTTCAACGTTTGTTGGTAAAGTATGAAAATGTAAAGAAGCAGAATAATCAAACAGGATCTGAAAGGGTTGATTGGAAATAGTTTGATATAATGGATAGAATTTTTGGATGTCGTGAAAACATTAATCCTTCTTTTCTTTCAAATGATTCAACAGAATTTATTAGTGATGAAGAAGAAAAAAAGGTTAAAAATACAAAAAGGAAAAAGAATTCTGTAGAATCTTTGGTTGATTTTATGAATAATATTAATCAATCAAAAAATAAATTAGCTGAACAAAAATTTGAATTGGAACGTGAAAAAATGAATAAAGAATATAAGTTGCAATCAGAAAGGTTGGAAGTTGAAAAGCAAAAATGGGAATATGAAAGAGAACAAGCACATATGCGTCATGAATTGCTTATGAAACAAATAGAATTACAAATAGCACAAACACAAAACAAACAATAGTCAATTAATATAGATTATCAAATTTAATAAAATATCTCAATAAAGAAATCAAATAAATTTATTATAGATTGAAAATTTACCAATTTTGTTTATTTAATTATGAATTTTATACAGATTATAACATGAATAGTTTTCTCATAATCCAATTTCTCTTTGCTTCTCCTGCTCTTTTTAAATTTTCATCACTAACATTATCAAAATTATTATCTTCATTATCTTCATTACTATCATCATCATTATTTTTATAATCTTCCCATGCATCATTGTGCAATTCTAAAAAATTGTGTAAAATAATAGAACAATCAATCATATTTATAGCAGTTGAGATTTTTTTAACAGTTATATCTCCTATTCCAGCAAATCTATTTTTTATCCTACCAAATGAATGTTCAACAACAATTCTATGTGATGAAAAAATACGATTAAATTCTGCTTGATTTTCATTTGGCTTACTAAATGGTTTAATAAGAAATGGTGATAAGGGGTAAGCACTATCTCCAATTAAAAAATCATTCCCTTTAATTAAAGTTGATCTATTAGCATAAAAATAAGAATTATGGTATACTTTTGCATCATTTACACTATCCGGCCATCCTATATCATAACTAATGAAAATACCTCTATGATCAACAATTCCTTGATAGTGTAAAGCATATTTTTTTTTTCTCGTAAAGTAAAGGTACTTTTCTTTTTGTGGAGCATTTTGCAAAATGAAGTAAGTTCCATCTATAGCTCCAATTATATCTTCAATACCTCCAATAGCTTCAAATCCAGCATGAACAAATTCCCTACTTCTTTCATCAGTAGGCCATTTAATAAATTTTGCTTTATTTGAAATAATAGCTTTCATTATTCTTTTACAATATAATATTACAGTACCTTCAGCTATACCATAACGTGAACATATAGAAAAAATACTTTCTTTTGATCCCAATCTTCTTAAGAATACGGCCAACTGAAGTTCTACAGGTGCTTGTTGGGTTATATGATTTGATTGAAAAATTGGATGAATGTTAAGTAATTTAACTAACTCTTTGAAACTTTCAGGAAACATCCTCATAATTTTTTTAAATCTGCCATCATCGTAAGAAGGTAAAATATTATTGTACCAATGTTGAGATTTGGCTATATTATATATACGTGGTTCCAAATAACGAACTTCATTTAAAGCTAACAAACTAAGCATAAAAAATTCAGAAATTTCTTCCTGTTCTTCTTCCTGTTCATCATTTGAATCTGTATTATCTTCGTCTAATTCTAATAATATATTTTCAATAAGTTTTTCTTCTATTGTTTGTTGTAATTCTTTGCGTACATTTGACATTTAAAAAATATATGTATTGAAAGGTTGAACAATTTAATATATTAATATAAAGTTCGAACTAAATTTCAAACTTGCTGTTCAATTTGCGATCGAAAATAAAGAAATTTTATTGGATAAATTTTGTACAACACAAACTGATTGAAAAATACGACCGAACGATTTTGAACAGGGCTACTGTTACAATTAGATTTATCCTTTAAAATATTTTAATATTTATGATGAAAATCTTTAATTATAATTTTTGCAAATATTTAATAAAACTAATTATTTAATACTTGACTTATTTATAAAAAAAGTCAATAAGTATAGTTTTATTTTTTTAGCTATATATATTATTATTTATTATAAATATTTATTAGATTTAAAAATAAAAAGGTATATTACTTTTATTATTATAATAATAATATATAAAACAAATTTTAAAAAATATAATTTATAATTTAATACAGTCTACCTTTGATATAGCAAAGAAGCTATTCTGCACTTCAAATTCAGTATAGTAAGTAACGAAAAATTTGAAGAATTTGATTGGTTACTTCATTATAGTGAGGAAAAATTGACATATTTTATTGGCTAAGTGATATGTGATTCATTATATCAAAATTTGCTATAGGAAGGATAAACTGTATAATATTTTAATATTTAAATTACAAATAGAACTTTGATATAAATATATAGAATATATAAAAAAAAATAAAGGAATTATTTATCAATATAAAAAGCATTAGATAAGTTTTTAAATCTTTATAAAAAATTACAATTCATTCTTTTTATAGTAAATTTTTATATAGTGAATAACTTGCTATAATAAAGAAAAGTTCAGGTATAGATTTTTTATATATATTATAATAAAATGACTCTCAATATAGTAAATTTCTCATTATAATGAATTTTAATTTTCAGCCCATAGAATTCACTATATTAAAAATTTAACAAAATAATTGCACAATTGTTTTGAAAGCCATTGTATCTATACCCATAAAAATATTTCAAAAAATTGGCAATTTTTAGTAAAGTACTTTTCCAAAAGTATAATATTGATTTTAATAAATGTATAAATTTATAAAATGCATTTATAAATTAATAAATAATAAGAGACAAGTATAATTATATTTTCACTCATATAATATTAAATGCTTTATAAAGTTTATTTATAATATAATTAATAGAATTATTAAATTTTCTTAATAACAAAAAGTATTACATACTATTTAAAATTAATAAAACTAATTAAAAGGATTCAACCAATAAGTGCAAAATTTATATATATAATTTACTTGAAAATTAATAAAAGTATAAATTGCAAGAAATATAAAAAATCTACAGAAATATATGGAATAATTATTTATCAAAAAATATTGAAAACTAGTATTTTATATTTTTAATGTTTTACATATAAAAATTTATTAGTTTGGAATATTAGATAAAAAATATCTTTACAATTTAAATGGTAATATAAAATCATAATGAAATAAAGACCTTTCAGAGACTTATAAATAGAATTCTTTATAAGTAATATATATTCACTATTAAAAGAACAATTACTATAAAAGTTGAAAAGTTACTTGAAGATATATATAAGTAGACCTGTTGATAATATTAATAAATTTGGTAAATTCAAAATAGATTTACATTATAATTAAAATTTTTGTTAATTTAATCTTTTATATGATTTTATAGAAATATATTTTTTTATAAAAGTATTATAAAAATAAAAATAAAATGTATTATAAAATGGGCATAAGTATTTGTTTTATTACAACAATAACTTAACAGATTACTTATTACAAATCAGTTGCTGGTTAAGAAAGTCAAGAAAGCCTTTTCAAACCATGTAAATTTAAAAATATTATGATTATTTATTAAAATCAATAAAGCATTTGATAAAATTGAAATTTGATATGTATATTGTATATACAGTATATATAATATATATATATTTTTACTTTATGGATATTTAAAATTTTCTATAAATTAATGTTTTTTTTAACTAGCCAAAATTATAAATTTTTGATCACAAATAGATTAACTTGTCACATGATGATAAATGTGAAGAAATCGTCTTTTTGTAAACACGAAAAAAAAAATCTCTTTACAAATGATTGAAAAAAAATAATAATGATTTTTACACAAAAGAACTTTATAAAACTTGAAGTTCAGTGAAATATATATATAATTTCAACGATTTGGTTAAAAAAAAAAGTGTTATATATAAAGAAATTACAAAAAAAATTCAACTAAGAAATAATGTTTCTTATTCTCTTAACCAAAAAAAAATTTGTATTTTTTTTTCCTTTTAAAATTTTTCTTTATGAAAACTAAATCTTATACCTTCCGAATTGGCATTATTACAATCAACTTTAAGAATTTTTGCCAAACAGGAAGGACCACAATAATATACACCAATATTAGTTGATAAATTTTTTTCTATACCAGGTAAATATTTACCATTTTTTATAGATTTTTTTAATCTTAAAAAAATCTCATTAAAATTTGGTCTACCATAATGAGTACGAGAATCTAAATCTGTTAAAGGATCCGAATTATTTGATACATCATTTATAACAATATATTGTATAGTTGATTCTCTTAAATTTGATGTAAGATAAATATGAAATTTTAAAAATCCTTCTTCTAATTGTGTTGCTTCTAATTTTTTTAATAATGATTGAAACCATTCAAATGATCCAATATCACGACAAATCCAAAAGAATTCTACGCGACGTAATTTTGATGGTCTTGAATTTTTATGTTGATACCTAGTTAATTTAAATAAAATTAGTAATTTATTGTTAAGTTGATTAAGATGTAAAAAAAAAATTAATATAATTATATTATTTTACTTACCAAATGTTTTTTAAGATTGAAGCAAAAGGAGTTATACCAATACCACAACCAACTAAGATTGTTATTTCATTATTTAAAATATCCTCTGCTGGAGCACCAAAAGGACCATCAATACGAAGTTTAGGTAAATCTTTTGGTACATGACTTTTATTAGTTGGAATATTACAACCAAGTACTTCAGCCAATTCATTAGTAAAATCACCAATTTGACGTATATGTACAGAAACAAAAGGATCATCAGGAGCTGAAGTAATAGTAAAAGGATGCCATTGAAGTTTTGAAATTTTTGGTACATTTAAAAATAAATATTGACCAGCTTTATATTTAAATGATGGTTTTGCAAATTGAATTTCAATAGCATTTGACGGATGATTAATAACTTTTGTAATTTGAGTTGGTTGACGAGATCTAAATTCTCTTAAAACACGTTCAAAGAAATAAATAATTCCACCCCAAATTGTATATTCCCAAGAGAAATAACCTTTACAACGTTGTGGACCAAGTTGAATATTTGTTCTTACGAAACAACCGACAGCATGAGTATAAAGACACATCATAAAAATGAAAGCCAAATGATGAGTATACCAAAAAGTTTCAAAAGATTGTTGTCTTATAGAACGATGAGCAGAAGTATACATTAAAACCATTATAAGTAACATAATATGACCAGTTTGACCACCAGGAGCAAAATAATGAATAAACCAAGCTTTTTCAATTCCTAATTCTTCAGCTCTTATAAAATTAATATAATGAGAAAAAGTATGAATCAAAGTCCAAAGTAACATAGAATAAGCAACTTGACGATGGAACCAAATATTTTCATCAAAAAGAATTAACTTATTTAAGAAAGTGAGACGTAAATAGCTTATTAAATTTCTACAAACTGGTAAAAGAATCAATGCACCATCATAAGCTAAACATAAACCAGCACCACGAGACATCATTACAGATAACCCTATAGCTGTAAGGTTACTAAGTTCAGGGTCATCTCTTTGTTTAATAAAACCATAAGCGAATAAACCAGCATGACTACCAAGCCAAAATATCCAAAATAACAAACGTTTCGGTGCGAATTTTCTTTCAAAGAATGATTCGACCATTTTTTAGAAGCAAGTCTAATAAATTTATAATTTATTTATACAAATAAATTGGATGGGCGATAATAGGACGATCAAGAATGAGCAGAATGGACGATTAATTAAGAATGAGCGATTAAATGAAAGGAAAAAAAGGTAAACGTAATTGATGATGAATGGGTGAGAGAAAAGAATGTGAGGGTTTTTGTGAATACAATATTATACCGCGTTTTTTTTTTTGGTGTCAAACTTTCAAACAATTCAAAACAAAAAGTTATTTATTATATAAGCAAAAAAGAAAAAATAATTTTATAGTTAATCAATCCATCGTGTATACGCCATATTCCATGGGTATCTAATAAATACTCCATATACACCGATGCTCCCCTCCCTTCGGGCATCAGTGAATATTTCAGTTATTCATTGATACCCATGGAATAACAAGTATTTATTTTCTAATTATGTATAAACAATGCTCGTTTTTAAAAGTATTTTTATTGGATGATTAATTTTTATACGAGGATATTTAAATAATTTGAATTTATTCTTATTCAATTTTTTTCTAGAATTCTATTTAATTTTGAGATTGCATATTTAAAAGAATGAATAATAATTAATGTTTCATAAAAATTTGAAATTTGATCAAAAAATAATCAACGACGCGCATAGAGACAAAGTGGGGTCTTCTTTTCATTATATTCATATATGAAAAATTACACAGGTTCGGTCGATTTCTTATATTAAATCTTTATTTAAATGAAACGATTATTGTTTTAACGAAACATTCATTAATTGTATTACATGGTTTAATACGTGTATAATACATGTTTTAAATACTTGAAACCTTTAAACCTTGAAATTTTTATAATAAATCTTGATTTTTATTCTATTCATTTGAAACTTTTTTTTCTCATGATTAAGTACAAATTTAAATAGGGATCCCGAAATTCATGGGATTTTTATGGAATTATACGGAAAATTTTGGGAGTTTTTACAAATTTATTTACAATGAAAGATTTGATATGCATGGCATGTAGTAAATTTTAATAATTTTCATTTGTAAAGAATTTTTCCATAAAAAACATTTTTTTTTTAAATTACTTTATTCATCATTTAACTTTTTATACATTCTGTCATTCTGTCATTATTAAGGAGTAATAATCAGATAAATATGAAAACTCCTAGCTCCTTCCAATGTTTGTGGCACAGATACCGGAAAAAAATTATATATCATGAAATTCATACATTTTTATAAGGGATAAAAGGAGACATTGTATGGCGATATCCCGATATTCGATATACCAATATACATTAAAAACTCCATATAACGATAAAATTTATATGAGAGAACATAGTATAATGTGATATGACATTTTTCAAAGATTTTCATACGGATTCCAACATATCGTTATATAGGAGTTTGACTGTAAAAATAGTAGAAATTGGATTATTTCTGATCAAGAAGCCGGTAAAGAAATTATTAATGTGAGATTTGGTTGCACTTCATTAATTTCTTCTTAATTTATAATGTCCCTTTTTAAAAGGACAATACAGATTAAAGAGGATATAAAGGACATTTATTGTACGGTGTTGTATTTATATTGGTTAACGTCACGAATTACAAATAAAGAAGGTCAATTAAGATCATTAGGAATTAAAAATAGAAATTATAAATTAAGAAAGTCAATCGAAAGGATATAATAAATTAAGAAAATCGAAAGGATATTATAAATTAAGAAAGTCATTAGATCATTATAAATTAAAAAGGACATTATAAATTAAAAAGGAAAAGGATATTACAAGGTCATTATAAATTAAAAAGGTCATAATGAACATTATTAAATTAATATTAATTAGTAACATAAAGGATTTTTTTTTTTTAAAGAACTTTACCATTTTAAAGAAAGAATTTCCAAAAAGACTTTACCATTTTAAAGAAAGAATTTCTTAAAAACCTTTACCATTTTAAAGAAAGAATTTCCTATAAACCTTTACCATTTTAAAGAAAGAATTTCCTAAAAACCTTTACCATTTTAAAGAAAGAATTTCCAAAAAAACTATACCATTTTTCAAATTATTAAACAAAGAATTTCCAAAAAAAACTTTACTATCATATCGGTATAACGTTATACTGTATCATCGGTATAAAAATTTTTCTTTCTTTTATCTTTTGTTTGCTATAACGTTATAAAGTTATGTTTATATGATTTTAACGTTATTAACTTATAAACGTTTATAACGTTATTATTGTATTTTTTTTTTATATTGTATAATAATATTATTTTTATTTATTATATTAATATCAAGTTTAGGAATTGGTCCTTTTTTCTCATAAAGGTTTAGTCTAGTAATATTTGGTATAGTTTAAAACGATAAATTAAAATTAATTTCTAAATATCGGAAATACGGAATTCATAACTTCGGAAATTCGGAAACAAAAAAAGTTTTACTATAATACAGTTTTGACCCAAATTTGTATCACTGTGTAGATCAAAAAAAAAAAAATCTGTTAACCTAATTAAGTTTTATTTTTTTTTTTTTTTTAAACAAAAAAACAAAGAAATCATTATGTATATAGTAATAAATAGTATCGTGGTGAAAGCTTGGCAAACTTTGGTAAAAATCAAAGATACTTGGTAAAACTTTGGTAGAAATCAAAGATACTTGGTAAAACTTTGGTAAAAATCAAAAATTCTTGGCAAACTTTAATTCTTTAAATTTCATGAAAAAAAAACTTGTTTTTTTAAAAGGTGGTAGTAAAAAAAAACATTATGAAAAAAAAAAAATCACTAACATTAAAAAAAAATTAAATTAAAAAAAAATCCCACTCCCCCCACTAAAAAATTAAATTATTCTTTTAATGCTAATTCATTTTTTTTAGAAATGCTCTTTATGGAAAGAGAATTTTATTCCTTCGCTATTGGCTTTATTAACTTCAACTTTAAGACTCTTTGCTAAAGTGGAAGGACCACAATAATAAACACCGACATTGGTCTTTAAATTTCTATCAGTACCAGGTAAATATCTACCACTTTCTATGGCTCTCTTTAATCTTAAAAATACGTCACCGAAATTTGGTCTACCATAATGAGTACGCGATTCTAAATCCGTCAAAGGATCATATGAACTTGATACATCATTTATAACAATATTTTGTATAGTTGATTCACGTAATTTTGATGTAAGATAAATGTGGAATTTTAAAAATCCTTCTTCTAATTGTGTTGCTTCTAATGTTTTTAATAATGATTGAAACCATTCAAATGATCCAGTATCTCTGCAAATCCAAAAGAATTCTACGCGACGTAATTTTGATGGTCTTGAATTTTTATGTTGATACCTAGTTAATTTAAATAAAATTAGTAATTTGATTAAGATGTAAAAAAAAAAAATTTAATATAATTATGTAATTATATTATTTTACTTACCAAATGTTTTTTAAGATTGAAGCAAAAGGAGTAACACCAATACCACAACCAACCAAGATTGCTATTTCATTATTAAAAACATCTTCTGCTGGAGTACCAAAAGGACCATCAATACGAAGTAAAGGTAATTCTTTTGGTATATAACCTTTTTCAGTTGGAATATTACAACCAAGTACTTCAGCCAATTCATTAGTAAAATCACCAACTTGACGAATATGTACAGAAACGTAAGGATCATCAGGAGCTGAGGTGATGGTAAATGGATGCCATTGAAGTTTTGAAACTTTTGGTACATTTAAAAATAAATATTGACCAGCCTTATATTTAAATGATGGTTTTGAAAAATGAATTTCAATAGCTTTCGATGGATGATTAATAACTTTTGTAATTTGAGTTGGTTGACGAGATCTAACTTCTCTTAAAACACGTTCAAAGAAATAAATGATTCCACCCCAAATTGTAAATTCCCAAGAGAAATAACCTTTACAACGTTGTGGACCAAGTTGAATATTTGTTCTTACGAAACAACCGACAGCATGAGTATAAAGACACATCATAAAAATGAAAGCCAAATGATGAGTATACCAAAAAGTTTCAAAAGATTGTTGTCTTATAGAACGATGAGCAGAAGTATACATTAAAGCCATTATAAGTAACATAATATGACCAGTTTGACCACCAGGAGCCAAATAATGAATAGCCCAAGCTTCTTTAATTTTTAATTCTTCAGCTCTTATAAAATTAATATAATGAGAAAAAGTATGAATCAAAGTAAAAATTAACATAGAATAAGCGACCTGACGATGGAACCAAATATTTTCATCAAAAGGAATTAACTTATTTAAGAAAGTAAGACGTAAATATCTAATTATATTTCTACAAACTGGTAAAAGAATCAATGCACCATCATAAGCTAAACATAAACCAGCACCACGAGACATGGTTACAGATAATCCTATAGCCGTAAGGTTACTAAGTTCAGGGTCATCTCTTTGTTTAATAAAACCATAAGCGAATAAACCAGCATGACTACCAAGCCAAAATATCCAAAATAATAAACGTTTCGGAGCCAATTCTCTTTCAAAAAATGATGCTATTTCAGCCATTTTCCAGAAATGACGTCTAATCTATTATATAATTTTTTTTTTTTTTTTATTTATAAAATAAATATATAACAATCCAAAATGGATTAAGAAAAAAATATTAAGGAGAGAAAAATTGGTGAGGAAAAAAAGAAAGAAAAAGAAAGGATTAAGAAGGAAACGAGTAAAAAATTGGAGTATTTAAAGGATTTATGAATTATACCGAACTATTTAAATAAAAAAAGGTACTATCAAAGTACTTGAAAATTTTTTTGACAACCAATTATTACCGAGCTCATATTTATAAACAAAATTTAATAGTTTACCAAATTAGTAAGAATGTAATATAAATAATATAAATAAAATATGTATAAATTTATTATTATTTTTTTTATTTATATTAAGTGAAGGCCTGTGAAGGGCTTACTTGTTGGTATCTAAATATGGAATAGAGTAATTTAAAATAATTGATATATTACAGTATTGTAGTTTCACTACAGACCACAGCCTTACTACATGTAACAAGGGGGAGTATATATATAATTAAAAGGGTGAAACGATTATTTCTAAAATAAAAATAGGATCCCAAATCCGAACTCAATTATAAAAAAATTTTTTTTTTTTTAGTAATACATTAATTTGTGGAATTTTTATGGTAAAAAAAAAAAATTTTTTTTTTTTACAAAAAAAAGCATGACTTTATAAAACATTATCTCTTAGAGGGTAAAGAAATAGAAGAAATCATCAAATCATCCCATATATAAAAAATCATCCCACTTGAAACAAATTTCTTTAATTAAGTATAATTGGATGGTTCCTTAAACATCCGATTGCATATCATCGTGATTTTTTTTCTTGAAAAAATATGGTAGATATACATATAGCGTTACATATGTATAGCGTTACATATGTATATATTGTATAATAGTGTATATATGTATATGTATATATATTTAATAGATTTTATTATATATTTATTATATATTTTATTATATATATATATATATATATATATTGTGAATAAGAATGTTGGAATTTTGGATCAAACTTAACAATGAAATTATTCAACTTTAATTCGAATCATTTTTCATATTTGGTTGCATTAAGATAATTTATTATTCATCCATACAAGAACCTTAGGTTTAATTAAGATTTTCAAAGTTTTAGAAAAAAAAAGTAAAAAATTAAAATAAAAAAAAAAAAAAAAAAAAAAAAAAAAAAA